GTGAGGGGGTGGCTTTTCCAGTAAGTTTAAATAAGCCATAATGCTTGCCCCTTCCAACATAAATTGACGTGTTTTTGGATTTTTCCTAAATACCAGTATTACAGAAGTTATTAAAGGTGGATACTTTTATCTGAAAAGCACTGTATAAGCTCTCATGAATGTTCAATGAATATTTGGTTTCAGCTATGCACGGAAAACCTTTCTATAAGTCAGGAAAACGAGCAGCTAAGATCATCTTCCAAAATGCAGTTAACATCGCATCAGTAAATTACATTGGCGATTTTGTTTTGAAAATGGCACAACTTTTGATCATCATCGTATCCTTGTTGATTAATATGTTGGTGATGATGGTGAGTATTTTTTTAATAATTCAATTTTGATACCTTATGTGCATAAATGAATTGAAACCTGTTCTGTCATTGAAAAATATTCAAATGCATATCTAGTATTTTTGGAGGTATTGATTGATATTTGTCAGCTTGATATTTTATTGAATTATTTCTTCATTTTTAATTTTATTCTTAAATTTGTCATAATCATTACGGACACTTATACTCAGGTATTCAATGGGTTATTCGTGTTTGGAAAAAATCCACGATATTCAGAGCAGTAAAATGTACATAACTGAATAACCTGGAACCAAAAAAACCTTAACATCTCATTTCCGGAACGTACTCTAAATAGATGAGAGGTTTTGGAACCTCAGACGTGAAATGAATCTATTGAAAACACTTTTCTCTCACCATAATAAAAATGCTGTCTTCCGACGCGCGTTTCACTAACCAAGTTTGCATAATCAGGAGATGACGAAAACTGTCATTTGGTTACTAAAACGCGCGTCACGAGACAGCATTGTTTTGGTGAGAAAAAGTGTCTTCAATAGATTGTACTCTGAATACCTATTACAAAAAAACTTCATTTTTGTTGTGATCACTGCATGTAAGATAATTGATAACTTTTATAACGTTAATGAGCCAGAACAAGTGTGTACTTTTCTGACTTTGTCTCGTTAATATATCACATTTTCATCATTTATATGATGAAAAAAAAAGAAGGAAGGAATTTGAATGCTGCGAATGATATATACTAAAAATGACAGTACTTTTATTTCTGAAGGGTCTAAAATAGTGTTTGTCAAAGTGGGCGATAACGCCCCCTTGTGGGCGCTGGAGGTCTATAGGGGGGCAAGTAAAGGGCACAGAGATGATTGGGGGCGTTGAAGCGGTTTAGGTGGGCAATGGCTAATTAAAAAATGCTTTTTTGCGTTCAACAGAAACTTTACCGCTCCTTAAGCTTAACGCGAGTTTCCTCGTGTAACGCCATCTAGGGGACTAGACAGTAACTATTTCCTGTCCGATAGTTGTCAAACTGTACAATAGATGGCGGCAAGCTTCAATGCAAAACGAGAAGTTACTAGTCTCCATTCTCGAAATTACTAGGCCCGCCCGCTGCTTCATATAAAAGCGCGCGCGCCATCCAGCCTGTAATGTTATTCAACGATATTGAGAAAACAAGTGAATTCAGTTAGCGACTAGCCAGGTAAATTGCTGTACGTGTAGTGGTGAATACTGTGAGTGCTGTCGTTAGCAAGTTTTCAATACTCGATTCTTTACTTCGGCATTTTTGAAGACAAAATTATGTCGGAAGCAAAAAAGAAGAAACGGCAGAATAGCGCGGAATATATAAAATATGGATTTATTGAAAATCCCACAAATCCATCTTCGCCGGTGTGCTTTCTTTATCAAAAAACAGTTTCGAATGAAGCGATGAAACCCTCAAGGCTACATCATTTGAATAAAATGCATTCAGATAAAAAAGACAAAAGTGTGACTCATTTTCAAGAACTGGAAAAGAAACACTCAGCCAACTGTGTCAAAACTTTTTTCAGGGGCTTCTAAACAAGACGACGACGGTCACCGAGCTTCCTCGCTCCTTGCTGATTGCTCAAACAGGTAAACCTCACACTATTGGAGAGGATTCAATTTTACCGGCAATAAAAAAGTAATAATTACTGTGCTCCGTAAACCAGCGGCAGATATCCGAAAAATTTCTTTGAGCAATAGTTCCGTGCAAAGACGAAATGATGAGATGGCTGAAAACATTGAAGATTCATTGTGCAATCATCTGAAGACTTCTAAATTCTCAATTCAGTTAGATGAGTCCACTTTACCAACCAATGAATCATTGTTGTTGTCATACGTGAGGTTTATTAAAAATGAGAAAATTTATCAAGAACTACTATTTGCCAGAAATTTAGAGACTGATACACTGGAAAAATTTTGTGATGAGAAAGAAATTCCACTGAAGAATATTATATCAGCTTCTACGGATGGCGCTCCGGCTATGACAGGNTCATTTCATTTCAGGTTTATTGTTGCTTAATATAATTGTTATTTTCAACTATTCTTTTTTAATTATTCTTTTTTACTTGTTTCAGGGATTTCAAATCATTTTATATAGTAGACAATGGAAGTCCGAACTAGTGAAATTCTTCACCTACCGTAGTAGACAAAAATCCTCTTCAATGGTGAAGCATTCACGGAGAAGAATTTTATGAATCATCACCGATAGCACTTGGATTTTCATTGGCACCACCCGCTAATGTTCGTAGCAAACAATTATTGTGCGGGTTTAATTCATGAACCTTTGCGTAACTGATTAGACCCCGAAAAGGCGGCAAAAATACTTTTTATTAAGAAAGCTCAGCATAGAAGCAAACTTGAGGAAAACATTTGTCTACATAAAGTTGTATAAGAATATAATATGAGACTTCTTTCTATGTGCTTTTTATTTTCAACGTTGGCCAGAATGACATAAAAATTATATTTTTTCTCATTAGTCAGCTATGCTTGAAGACAGGTAGTTAACAAATCTAAAGAGATGAACTTTAAACGTTCAAGCCAGTCTCGAATATACCTACACAGTAGGTTGTATGGACTGACCGGTCTTGCACTGATGAGTGGCTAATGAGCCCGAAACCAGTCTGCAAGTGTGCCCGTTCCAAAATTGAAGGTCGATCCTTTCAGTTGTATTGCCAATTGCTATGCAGGAAATTTCCTGTAAAGATTTCTGCACTGACGCCTGTTGGATATAATCCAACGCCCTTTGTGGTATTAGCCAGGGGAGTAGTTGTTTTCTGATAGGCGTCAGTCCATTCAACCTACTGTGTAGGTATATCCGAGACAGGCTTGAACATTTAAAGTTAATTTCTTTAGATTTGTTTACTGCCTGTCTTCAAGCATAGCCCATCGACTAATAAGAAAGTTTTTATTCCTTATTCAGAGGAATCGGGCAAATTTCGGATATGCAGTTTGTTAGTACCTCGTCCACTAGATAGAGTGACATTTTGTTGTTCGCTCCAACTTAGGAAGAGGAATGAAATACTCTGAAAGAATTCCGATTTTCAATTATGGAATATCATTGACTTTAGGTTGATGATGGCCACTATCTTGCACTGATGAGTGGCTAATGAGCCCGAAACCGGTCTGCAAGTGTGCCCATTCCAAAATTGAAGGTCGACTCTTTCAGTTGTATTGCCAGTTGCATATGCAGGAAATTTTCCATTCCATAACATTCGTTGTGGAATCGAATCAGATATCATTCACAGGATTCTTCCACAATATAGTATATGAAAAAGGTTAAATTTCACTTACATGGAACATTGTCAACGTCATTGGTAGACATACGATGTTATGCCGTAAGGCACTTGCCTTATCAGCTCTCCAGTGCCAAATATAGATAACATAATAGGAAAAAACATTCATGTCATCCGACGTTATGCCACGGAATGAGTTCAATCTACTCATGTCATCGATGACAGTTCGTAATGGCATTCATTCAACTAATCTAAATTCAGTTGTATTGCTACCTGCATATGCAGAAAATTTTCTGTGAAGATTCCTGCACTGACGCCTGTCGGATATAATCCAACGCCTTTCATGGTATTAGCCAGAAGAGTAGTTGTTTTCTGATAGGCGTCAGTCCATTCAACCTACTGTGTAGGTATAAGCGAGACTGGCTTGAACGTCTAAAGTTCATTTCTTTAGATAAAAATTATAGGATTTCCCAAGAATCGATGAGCGCCACTGATTGAAAGAGAATATTTTTATTATTTTTATCTTATGAATACACTGACCCATTACTTGTTACTTGATGAACATTAATAACACTATCCTAGATGATAATTATACAATTCACACATTTCATTCAAGACGCATTTCACCACATAGTAATTTCATCCTTTTTACTGATGAAACGACCGTTTTTCGTCTTGAACGAAATGTTAAAATTGTATAATTATCATCAGAGACACTATTATTTTATTCTGTGTGATGAAATTGGCCAAATTTATAATAATTTCAGTTGAATGTGATTAGGAAAACCTGTATACACACTCTATAGTATTATTTGATGAATGAATCATAATGACTAATGCCCTTTTTTTTGTTTTAGGGAGCATCTGGCGCTAGCGTTGCTATTTCTTATGCCATTGTCTTTGTAGTATCATTGTGTGTGGCAGTAACATTCTTTTCACCTTTTGAGGTAAGTTTTTCATTCCTTGAATGTCTTTCCATCTCATAAACGGCCTACACACGTTACGATTTTTCGTACTGCTTGCAGTACGATATGCATTGGTACTGCCGCAGTAACGATAAATCATAACGTGTGTAGGCAAATTGGGTGTTTTGCAGTATGCAGTCGTCAAATCGTTCGTAGTACGTAGCTTCCATAAAATATTGTATCAACGGTCATATCTGGGGTGGGGTTATAGACAAGTTGGAACGTTTGAAGCTTATTGCTGTGGCAGTTTCAATTTTATATCGTTCAAAGCAAATCATTTAGGGAAAAGGGTTTTATATATTTCATATCATTATAATGGATATGAAAAATAAGACGTTCTGGGAAGAGTTTATTGCTGTATATAGAGAAAACAGCTGCCTGTGGGATGTAAAATCAAAAGATTACGCGAATAAAATTTAAAAAAATTCAAGTCACGATAATCTCAAGAAGTAATGAAAAAGAAAAGAACCATGTAAGAACTTCCTTCAGACGTGACTTTTGGAAGATTGAAATCTCAACCTCGGCAGTACGAGCTGTTGTGAGGTGAGGATGAAATAAGGCTGTACTGCATGCCGTAAGATTTTTTTTACTATTTGCACTTCAACATGCAGTACAGAAAATCGTAACGTGTGTAGACCGCTTAAGAGTTCTACTAGCATAAGAATTTCAACATAAGAAATATTGTTGAATAATTTCAACACGTAAGTTCATCAATTCTTACTAGATTGAAAAAAAAACATTTTGTCAGAAGTCCGCAAAAATTGAAATAATTGATGATACTATGAGTAGTGGTCCTACATTCACAAGTGTCTCAAGCTGTTTTTTCTCGACATCTAATGCAAAATAATAATCAATATATACATAGTTGATGAAACAAAAATATGTTTGTAAACACAAATTTGTAGAAAACGCTTTTTGACTATCGTGAAACCATGTAAATAATTTTTCCCGCAAGAAATTTAGAGTGCTTGTTCACGATACCTGGCTTAAATTATAATTAATTATCAATTAATTTGTGAAAAAAAATTTTTTATGGGCAATAATGGAAAATAGTGGATCGTGGATTATAGAAAATAAGTTTTTCTCAGTAATCTTAGAGTGTTTGTTCAGGAGACATGGCACAAATTATAATTAATTATCAATACTATACACTTATGATCATTATCTAGTAGAATGGAAGAGTTTTCATTTCTTCAATATCGATCAAATAAATATTTTTTTTCTTATTAGTCAGTGGGCTATTCTTGAAGACTGGTAGTAAACAAATCTAAAGAAATGAACTTCAAACATTCAAGCCAGTCTCGAATATACCTNGCATATCTAGTATTTTTGGAGGTATTGATTGATATTTGTCAGCTTGATATTTTATTGAATTATTTCTTCATTTTTAATTTTATTCTTAAATTTGTCATATATCATTACGGACACTTATACTCAGGTATTCAATGGGTTATTCGTGTTTGGAAAAAATCCACGATATTCAGAGCAGTAAAATGTACATAACTGAATAACCTGGAACCAAAAAAACCTTAACATCTCATTTCCGGAACGTACTCTAAATAGATGAGAGGTTTTGGAACCTCAGACGTGAAATGAATCTATTGAAAACACTTTTCTCTCACCATAATAAAAATGCTGTCTTCCGACGCGCGTTTCACTAACCAAGTTTGCATCATCAGGAGATGACGAAAACTGTCATTTGGATACTAAAACGCGCGTCACGAGACAGCATTGTTTTGGTGAAAAAAAGTTTTTTCAATAGATTGTACTCTGAATACCTATTACAAAAAAACTCCATTTTTGTTGTAATCACTGCATGTAAGATAATGGATAACTTTTGTAACGTTAATGAGCCAGAACAAGTGTGTACTTTTCTGACTTAGTCTCGTTAATATATCATATTTTCATCATTAATATATTTTTTCACAGTATTGAATGAATATTATTATTATTGTCACAATAGAGACACCAACGCAATGAATAGTACAAAAACGCCACCCCCACAAAAAAATGTGCACTTCGACCTCTAGTAGCGAAGATTCCGTTTGATGACACCTACTTAGAACCTTGCTATAAGCACAAGCTTTTTACACCAGTGACTGAAAAAAAAAAGAAGGAAGGAATTTGAATGCTGCGAATGATATATACTAAAAATTACAGTACTTTTATTTCTGAAGGGAGCCTGAACATAGCTTTTTCCTTTGTCCAACCACTCCTCAGGAGATTGAAGAATATATAACTAAACCAACAAGTAAACATGCTTCTGGGATAGATGATATATGTGGAAAAGCTGTAAGGTTTGTCAAGGAAACGATAGGTTTGCCTTTAGCTCACATAAATATAATTTTTTTTATAATTTCCAATATTTCCATGATGCTTGAAAGCTGACAATTCAGTTCCAAACTCAACCAAAAGGAAAGCTCATGTTGAAATAAGTGCCTTGTATTTTTATCGGTATTTGGCAAACTGAGAGATTTGGAAATTTCACTTGTGGCTCGTCCGATTTTATTATTTCTTATTCGTTCAGAATATCTGTCAGATTAGTAATTGATTAAAAAATATAAAAATCACTATTTTCAATAATTTTTACCACCTTACGCTGATTTCACCAAATGACAACCTATCATTACCGCTATTTTTGTGTTTTTCTGAAAGTTCTGCAGAGTAGTTAAAATTTCCAAGTAACTAAGGGTTATTTTTTAAATATTTTCGAATTGAACTTGAAAATTAACTCTGCCTCTGGTTTCATTAACATTGAAGAGTTTTTTCGTACTATCTTGTACATTTGACGCATGCCATAGATCAAATTTGACTGAATTTCTGCAAAATAAAAATCTTTCAGGCACTTCTTATTGACATGGTTACGAATACACCGAATTTGATATATTTTAGAATTCATTTTTTTTGTCATATTATATATATGGTCATGCCAGCTGAGTGTTTCTTCTAGAGTCAATCCTAGAAATTTCACAGAAATGTTTCGGTTTATGTGTACATCGTCAAGTTTCAAAGATATTTGATAGTTTGCAGTCCTTTGTCTAGTATGAAAGATTAAGTATTCTGTTTTCTCGGTATTGAGATACAGTTGATTGGCAGAGAACTATTCCCAAAGTTTCCCTAATAACAAATTGCAGTCGTCCTACAAAAAAAGCTGAATCATCTGTATTCCGGTAGATATTCCACTAAGTCAGCAATGAACAGTGTGGACAGTACTGGAGCTAGTACACTACCTTGAGGAACGCCTACTTCCAGCTTAATGGTTTCTGAACGATGCCTACTCACTGATCCATCTGGCTCTTTCTGAGATATTTGAACAAACTGACTTCTGTCCAACAAGTAGAATGAAATCAGTTTTGCAACTGTGTCCCTTATTCCACCTAGACAGAGCTTCTTGAGCAGTGCCTCATGGGGAACACAATCAAAAGCTCTACTTAAATCGCAAAAGAGCTCTATGGGTGATCGGCCATTGTCAATTCCTTCAAGGATATTATTGTAAAAATCAAGTGAAGCTATTGTAGTAGATTTTCCTTTTCTGAAACCGTGTTGTTCTTTTGGTATCAGATTATATTTCTCTATGAATGATGTGAGTCTGTCTAAAATGCAGTACTCAAATACCTGTAGGACCTGTAGACATTTTATTTTTGAGTTTTTGTATTATGATTGACAATTTTTGCATCACTGAAAGGCATCAAAACGATCGAGTTAGGATTGGATTTTCTCGTGAAATTGAAATTAAGAATTTAAGGTATTGACTCTACTACTTTTTTAGGAGCCTCTATAAAGAAATTGTTGAATAAGCTTGCTAATTATTCGAAATTGCGTACAATTTTCATGTTATATTTTGACATTTCTTTATTTCTAAGTGTATTTATTATTTTCTACAATGTTTTACTTTTTTTGTCCGACTGTTCAATTAATTTGCTGAACTGTTGTTTTTTACATCCTTCAACTAACACTGAATGTTTTTTCTTCATGAGATTGTAAGGTTCACGAAGGTCGCTATGTTTTTTTTTTTTGTAAATATAGAGATCTTTCAACTTTCTACTTGATTCTTTTAACTCCTCTGTCACCCAGCCTGTTTTACCATCATTATTTTTTACAATTCTGCTTGTCAGCAGAAAACACTGATCAAATATATGATTAAATATATGAAAAAATATGTTANAAAAAGTATAAATGTAGATATAAAAAAGTTACAAAAATGTATAAATGTAAATTTCTAAAAATGTATAGATAAAATACCACCGTGTATAAAGTGTAGGGGGATTCTGATAGGTCTTAAAGGTGTTCTATCTACAATTGAATATTTGAACGTCACTGTTTGAGCCGCTATGTATCTTACTGAACAAATGATCACCAAGCAATGATGGCAATAAACTCTAATCTAATTCATTTATTTTTCAGACGACCATTGATACAATATTCCTATGCTTCTGCGAAGACAGTTTACTTAATGACGGAATGGCTCGACCCTATGCCATGTCCAGGGACTTGATGGAATTTGTGGAAAATTCTAAGAAAATATATGGAGAGAAGAAATAACTGGATTTTTAATATGGAATTGGTTTCTTATTCAAACATAACACTTTTCGAATTAATACCAATTCCAAAAAGTATAATATGTAAACATTTATTCATAACCATGTGACTGTATGTAACGCTTTTACATTTGTTAAGATCAAATGGCCTTTGAGAGGTAAATATAATGCACATTTATTAAATATAGACATATATATTTATGATACATGGTATATATAGAAAAAAAAAACATGTAACTATTAATGTTATTCCAATTTAAAGCTAATTTGTTTTTGTCTGTGTTCTCAGGTTCATTGTTACTTTGACTTTTAGAAAGTTTATTTCAGTTAGACTTTTCGAGTATATTTTATATATGCTCCATCTTGCTGAAAATTTCAACTACTTGGAGTTGTTGAACAAATATTTTTTATATAACCGTTTTTTGAATTCGATTCAACAGTTCGAGGTGTACTAAGTTGAACCTCATAACGATGAGCAGCAGATACATTGTGAAGACAAAGTTTTGTACTTGTACAAAAATCAAAATGCAAACAATATGGGGAGTGAAATTCACAAGTACAGTACTCGCAACAAAGATGTGTATAATAGGCTACCTCGAGTGAACTACACTAAAACAATGAAGCAGACTGACTAAATGTCAGTTAAACTATATAACCGTATACCGGTGGATTGGAAGGCATCAACTAAAAAAAATTGAAAGACTAAAAAAATCACTCATTTTAAATCCACATTGAAGATGTTTTCTCCTATGTGTGGACTAATATTTAGTACTGTCCATTTAATAACGTACTCTTACATAAAGCCGAGTTTCTAGGATTATCTCATTTTTACAGAATTCACTACTTCTATTTCTACATAGCTTTACGAATGTTATACATTTTTTTTATATTACTACACCTCAGTCTTGACATACTTACACAATTATGTTGTGAATTTATCTGGTAAACATTTTTGTAATTTTCAAAGGTCAATAAATATCTCATTTTATCTTATCTTTATCTTATCTAGATATCAATATTTCAAACAGTTTATGTTTACGCTAATAACTGGGTAAACGCAAGCGAGACATAAGTGGGTACCACCAATACAACGTTGTATAAAATTCATTTAATGAACATTTATGAAATAGAAATCTTTTCAATGATAATGTCGTTCCTGTCATTACAGTAAGCTTTGAACATGATATTACTAATATCAGACATCTGATATTAGTTTGGTGTTTTTGGCTCTGAAGCCTTATCTTTCATCAATGGAATTGGAAAAATGGTAGCCGATGAAACCCACGAATCAAAAGCCAGCATAGTATGTCAGCTAATCTCGTGCTTTTGCCTGAATCAGTCGGATCTGCACGGCAGCACCTTGCCAATCTATGGGTCCGGTTGTCAAAATCTGACAGCCGCGAAACAGGGAGTGGCTAATGCTCCGACTGAAAGTGGAATTTCAGCCCGCGATTCTGAAAATGGTAGCGTACTTTCCTTCTCCTCAAGGTCAACGTCGAAGAAGCGTGCATCAGCAACGATTTCCCTCCTCTCCCCGATATATCCAGCTGCAAGGTAAGCGACTGGATCCAGAAAGAAAATCCGAAGAAGAATAAGGTTAAGGTTAAGAAAATTTTCAAAAAAGCTGTCATAGACAGCGTAAGAGACTACTATTCCGAGTCCGAGACCTCGCATCAATTGGCCCAAAATCAGGTCGACGAGACTGCCACTCCTAGTGGCAGTATAATTAATGATGATGAGATGGAAACAGATCTCAAAATAGCAAATGACAGTGTCTCAAATTCAGGAAGCATTGTCAAGTCAGTACATGAGGAAGAGCCTGGTACCCCCACCCCCTTTAATCGAAACCAAAACTCGTCGGCTAAAAATGCCGGAATTCCCCCTATTGTTGTCCGCCAGAAGGACAAATCCGTGATGTCTTCAGGGGAGTGCCAGAACACCTGGCGATTGACGACGTTCGTGAGGAGCTCGAAGCCAGAGGCTTTGACCTCGCGTCAGTAACGCGCATGAGGCGCATCAACAAGCCCATGCCAATGGTCCNGTTTCATTTTATTGGTTTTCAGATATTTTTCTACTTTCTCTAGAACTTTATTCATTCTGCCAACAGTTTCTTCTAAATATACTCCAGTACAGGCCAATAAGGTATCATCTGCAAATGAGTTGATGAACTCACAGTCTGTAAATAATTGAATATCATTCAGATACAGAATGAATAGTAGGGGACCAAGCTCACTACCTTGTGGTACTCCTGTGTGATTTGTTATATATGATGAGAAATAATCGTCGTTCACATGTACTCTCTGTTTCCTATTTGATGAATAATCAGTTATCCATTCATAAACCATCCCCTCAATCCCATATCTTCTCAGCTTCTGAAGCAAAATACTTCTATCAATTGCTTCAAAGGCCCTTTTGAAATCTAAAAAGACAGCTACAACATATTTACCCTTTATAAGTTTCATTAGTGATGTTTCACAAGAATGTTTTTTTTGAAAACCAGATTGATTGATAAACATGATTTGATTTTTGTCAATGAACTCTAATAATTGATTATATACTGCAATTTCTAAAACCTTCTCTATTGGTGGTAAGGTGTTAATAAGTCTAAATTCACTTGCTTTTATAGTGTTTGTAACTTTAGGTATGAGTATAATGATACTTATTTATAATAATTCGGAAAATTGACCATTCTAGAGCGATGTATTATTAAATTGAGGATTGCATGGCCAGCTGTTTCAAATACTTGCTTTAACATTTTAGAATTCAAGATTTCATGGATACTACATTTATTGTCTAATGACACAATTATATCATTCAAATCTTTTAAGGTAATCAATCTAAAGGTGCTGAAGGGCTGTTTACAAAGTATAGGTTGAAAGTTTTGGTCATGTGAAGTTCACCTTTTTTAGTACTTGCTACCCCTTTATCTTCAAATTGGATTATAATCGGAAATGTACGATCCTTACTATTTACAAGGGTTTTCAAGGTTTTTCACATCAAATGAGAGTTATTCTTGTATCACTTTATTATCGTTATTAATCAAAACCAGTTAACTAGAAGGCTCAGTTAATGTTTGATTTATACCATAGGTTGTGAAAATATTCTTGATATTTTTTGTACAGAAACTTTCTTCTAATGAGTTTAAATCAAAATCACCTACCAGAATAAAACAATTGTTAGATGACAACGTTTGCTTGTCGCAAACATTCTCGAAATATTCTAAAAAAGTTGCATGAGAACTAGAAGGTGAATGATATAAACATCCGATCAACCATATTGAAGATTTGAAGTTAATTTTAACAATTTTACACCAGTAATTCGATTCCAGTTTGAATAAGACATATTCATCCAAGATTCCATGTATGAGTTTAACTTGTTCAAGTGTAATGATTTTTTCTATATTCAGGAATCCCGTTATTTCATAGACAATGTTTGTGGGAGTTGGTCGATACAAGTTATACAAAGTTTTCATTGATTTGTTTTGCCTCTTCCTAGTTTGTTAATTATTGTTGTGATGCATTGCCCCAACATGATATGAGATATCTCATATGTGATTCAACATAACTGTAATATATCGTTTTTTGACATTTTGGTTTTTATATTTTGCACCTGTCATTGAAACTATTTTTGTTATCACTTTGTTGATATGCTCTTTCCACTGGAGTTTAGTATCTATCAACATTCCTAAGTATTTGTGAACTTTGATTTCTTTCAGTAAGTCATTGTTTATATACAACTGTATTGTCCCATTTGGTTTTTTTGTGCCTTATTAGGTACCATATATACAGTTTTTTCAACATTTAATGCTAGCTTATTTATCAGAACTCATTAATATTATTTGTTTAGGTCATTATTCACTTATTGCTCTATTGTTTCAAGACATTTATTTGAATAAACTAGTGCGGTATCGTCAGTAAAGGTAACTCGAGTTTTTTGTGATAAGATGTTCAATTTATTTTATTGATTGGTGAGAATTTCAGTGTGAAATGCAGCCGAAAACAAACTCAGCAGCGCCAAACTGAGCCCGCCCCCATGCGAACAAACTCATTTGTTTGGTCATTCTTGCCCCCCAAATATGTGCTGCAGTTCATGTGGTTTTGGTTCCCTTTCAGTGGAAGAGCTTCATGAATCAAAAGCTGAATCGATCCCTCTACGAAACCCTAAATCACTTGGAAGAATCGATCGCAGATTATGTGAAACATGGTCTTCCTTATGAATCGGTAGAGAGTTGTCCTGAAAATCATGAGAAGAAGATTGGATTAGATACTTTAGGAAACACTTTTTAGGCTACATGAGTAGCATTTTACAAGTATTGTTCGTGACGAAGAATTTCAAGAACGAGGTTTTAATGATGAATGAGAACGAGAATGTTTCCTACTTATTCACTAAACTTAAACACCTGTTCATGCAGCTGCAGTTTCGTAAGAATGTATCATCTTTGAAGTCCACTAGATACTCATTAGGACATCAAGAGGATTGTTCCGAATTCTTGTGGTTCTTGTTGAATACTCTTCGTGAGCAAAACAATAGCAGAATCAATACTCCTGAACGCTCTGGATTGAATGATTCTGTACAGTCTATTCCGTCTTGTGTTTACAAATCTTTTGCCGAAAAAATCCTGACTTGTTTACTTTGTAGTAAATGTTCAAGAGGTAGCAAAAACGTATGTGAATTTCTGGAACTTCAACTAGCGTTTCCTAATATGACTAATAACCAGTCCGTGCAAAGCTTGTTGTTGAATCATTGAATCATCTGAAAATTGAACTTTTAAGGTTATGATCGACTGTATTGCCAAATATGCGCCAAACTAACTGACTGTTATAAGGAAACAAGTATAGCTGAGGCACCGGTCAATCTAATAATAACACTGATGATCTTCAAACATGACTCACCTCTGACGGAAGCACCCAATTCTTACGAAGGTTCGAAATAGATGAACACTTCAATCTAGCAGAACACTGTGGTTCTGGCGTTGAATCTGGTCATTATTACGCATTGGTCAAAGACGAAACGGACTGGTTTAAGTTTGACGATAGTCGTATCACTAAGTGTTCTGGCGATGTAGAAAATTAATTGGAACCTCTGGAGACACCCTACATTTTGTTTTATAAGAGAGAGAGAACATTGGCAGATCAAGATCTTAAGATGATGTGGTGCTACAGGTTCTCCGGGTTTTCCTGCAG